GCCTATCCTCAAATTGAAATTTTTAAGGCGGGATTAGAATAAATTAATCTATGGAACCTTTTTTCCTCATATTTTCCTTTTTAGCAATACCGAGCGGGAGACACGCATATGCCGATTCCATTTTATTACTCATCAGGATCTTTACTAGCCTATCCTCAAATTGAAATTTTTAAGGCGGGATTAGAATAAATTAATCTATGAGATATTGGACGTGGTCAAATATATCAATCGAAAGGGTTTGACCTCCTGGGTCCAAAACTGTAATTATATCTCAAATCGGTCAAGAGATGACGGAGGTATGAGATAAAAGTTTGTACTTAGAAAAAAAAAAGAAACGATCTAAGAACACATTTTTTGCTCTAAATATCCTCCCCATTAGCTCAAAGGTAAGTTTGGGTATATATCTTATGACTGTAACCATTACGTACAATGAATGTGAATATATCTTTGTTCAGAAATATGAAAGTATTTTTTTTTTTATTTTAGTACAAGTTGTCTGTGCTTAGCTAAACGTTTTCTATTAAAAGCATGTACTGAAGGCTTTTTACGCTAAAACTCGAGGTGGGCACAGCACAGAAAGCCCATTGTGTAGCTTTGTGCTTAAGTACAAATAAACCACAGAAGACTATCCTTAATCCTGTCACTCGTTACCAGGGCTAGTTCAACTGAAATCCTGTCACTCGTTACCAGGGCTAGTTCAACTGAAATCCTGACACTCGTTACCAGGGGTAGTTCAAGTGTAATAGATGATATTTTTATTACATTTATTCACGTCTGGCGTGCTTGACATATAACACATGGAAATACCAAGTTTCATTTGGTCGTTGTATGGTCATGTGACATGGGAGGATTAAGTATACATGGATCTCTACCTCCCTCATTGACTATTGATTTGGTTATTTAGGGTTGGATGAATATGGTTGTTGTTTGTTGTTAATGGGTTATCTGTGCTCTGCCCACCATGTGTATCGAAATCCCGTTTTTAGCAGTATAAGTTCACAGACATGCCTCTGGGGGGAAGGGAGGCGTATGATACAGTCCGGTAACAAGGACAACGTTCTAACGTTATGCATTCACTCATGCACGTAGCAATAGCTAATTCCACATGCGACTGACTTTCAGGCCATGTACCTGAATGTATAATGCCGATTTTTCGACTTTTCTGATATAAACTTTTTTGTTGTTGTTATTCATTGTCAAGTAAAGTTTTGTTCACATAAACAGTTCCATAAATATCGGTTGAAGACATATAACACTAATCCTATTTTCGCACAAATAAACCCTTTTAAAATAAAATTAACTTTATCTAGCTTATCGGGTTGCCCTGTAGGTGGCCATAGAATACACAAGGAGTTTACTAGATTTAGTGGTGAGAGGTACTTAGGTCTATTATCATCATGTATGATAAGGTTTTTCAGCAAAAGTAATGTATTGGAAACAATGGTTTTCGTTTTTGAACAACGCGGCTGGTTTGTTGACTTCGCATGGCATTCCGAGTAGTCGTAACGAGTTAGGTTTTGTTTGTTTGTAATTAAGAAAAAAGCTACACAATGGGCTATCTGTGCTCTGCCCACCATGGGTATCGAAACCCGGTTTTTAGCGTTGTAAGTCCACAGACATACCGCTGTGCCACTGGTGGGCAATGAGTTAGGGCTGGATACAGCTGCAAGCGAAGATAATTAAAAATCTAGATTAGAATTCGTCTAGAACAGAGTACTCTATGGTTTTTTCAGTGAAATTGTCTAGATCAGTGTTTCTCACCAGTCCATGGACGAAATCAAACAAACAAAAACTAACAGACTGTTCATTTGTAAATTGTAACGGTTTTTTTGTTGTACTTAACTTTTAGTGGTGCGCGACAGTTCAGGAAGGCAGCGAGCTGATCCCTGATATAAATAACGTTGAGAAACGATATTCCTTGTTTTCCTTGATTAAATCTAGAAAAGCCACATATGTTATGTTGTCAGTAAAATGTTTTGTTTGTTTTGTTGTACTTAACTTTTAGTGGTGCGCGACAGTTCAGGAAGGCAGCGAGCTGAACCCTGATATCAATAACGTTGAGAAACGATATTCCTTGTTTTCCTTGATTAAATCTAGAAAAGCCACATATGTTTTGTTGTCAGTAAAATGTTTTGTTTGTTTCAATGTGAAGCAATTATGTCAGTCATTTTCACTTTGGTTAGGGCGCTCGACTCGCAATCTGAGGGACGCGAGTTCGAATCCCCGTCGCGCCAAACATGCTCGCCCTTTCAGCCGTGGGAGCGTTATAATGTGACGCTCAATCCCACTTGTCGTTGGTTAAAGAGTAGTCAAACAGTTGGCGGTGGGTAGTTGTGACTAGCTGCCTTCCCTCTATTCTCACACTGCAAAATTAGGGACGGCTAGTGTAGATAGCCCTCGTGTAACTTTGCGCGAAATTCAAAAACAAACAAACACTTTGGTTAAGTTAACCTTGTTCAAACTCTATAGTCTTTCAAACAGTTAAATTTTTTAAAGTATATTTACCTGAACATTACAGTTTTACTTGAGAGTACTGTAATAAGATAAATTCTGTGAACAATATACTAAAAATTAAAGATCATATAAAGAATTAAATAAGTAGATAAAGTTTGTTTGTAATTAAGCACAAAACTACACAATCTAATGGTTTCTAGCGTTGCAAGTCCGCAGACATACCGCTGTGCCACTAGGGAACATTAGACATAGACTATAGAGAGAAAAATAAATAAATTTGTTGCTAACTTAACGTGTAAACAGAGTTAGATAGGTCTTCCATTTAACGCACAAAGTAACTGGGCCAGCATGGCGTAGTGGTTAGTGTGTCCGGCTACGGGTAGGAAGATCCAACGTTCCAGCCATGACATACTGCTAAGCACATTCCACATTTCAACTGTGGGGGAAGTTATAGCTGTCCCGCTATTCGGATTAGAGTATCTACGTATAAGATGGCGGGGTACTGTTGCCCTCCTTTTAAGTCGACATTTATAAATTCAATTAAAGATAATTACGGCTAAACTTTGAGGTTTCTGATCTGGCCGCTTAACTCGTATGTCGCATAAGATGCCGTTCCGTTGAAAATGTCAAAATTGAAGTAATTATGCAAATAATTCTACAAAGTTTGATCTTAAAATATGTCCGAAAAAACATTTAGTTAGTTGACAATTAGATCCGTATTTAAAACCCTATAACGGTAACAGTGGTCTATCTTGTAAAAAATAAAATAAAAAGCGGGATAAACTGTTTTTAAAAACAAATACTAAATTATTTGTTCTAATATTGGAGGTTGTATTTGAACTTCGCGATGTTAAAATTGCTAAAATATTAATCAAATGTTTAAAATCTAAGTTTTCTGTATGTAGACATGAACATGGTACAATGAAATATGAATGTTGATTTGGTTTCAGATATGTCGTTTGTGAAGCGTAAGAAGTTTGCCACGATGCTTCTTGGCGTGCTTTGTCTTCTTGGCTTCATTATGGCACTAGAATTCCATTGGCACAACCATGTGTGGTATGTATTTCAAAGTTAGTGGTTAGTTGACGTGTTTCTTTTTCTTCTTTTTTACATTATCGTTTATTTTGATAAAGTTCGTGTAGGCTTAGTTTTATTGATAAGTTTTTTCTTGCTTATTTGCTGTTCAAACTGTTACTTATTTGCCATTAATCACTGCGGACAGTTTAGTGTTTTCAATAAATAGAGGGCTGCATTATCTAAAAATTCAAGCTTTTGTTATAATTGCATGAATTTGGTACAAAATGAAACACTACAAGAAAATGTACAAGTTCCACGTTTATCAATGATTACCGTACACATGAAAATAAAATAATAGTTTCACAAATTTTCACGAGGGGGAGTAAAATTTCATAACTTTTTGTAAGAGTATTGGAAGTTTCAGATGTGAACGATTTTTTTTTATACTACGCATATGTAAAGTAAATTCTATCTTAACGTCTCTTAACAAACTTTTAACTTGCTTGTAGAGGCAATTAAAGACTGCAGATCCTTTTTAACTCGTTACAACACACACACAGTAACCAGTAACCGAATAGTTTTATAATAAAGTTTTATTATGCAGTATTTTGGGGTAATGGCTATTATGTAATAAGAATAATTTTCAAAGTTCTGTTAAGATTTTATGCGATTCCTTTAAATATTAATTTCATATCAAATAACTTTATCGGCGCTTGTACATCTCATCAGAGAAATGCTGAATTATTTATTTCTCTTTGTATCAAGGAGCTTCGAACACGTGAAATATAAACCACAGCCAGCAGACGTTCGGAAATCAGGTTTGTTCCATTCTCTGGGCTATCAGTGTATTTTTGAGAATATTACACTGACAGATTTATAAAATATTAAATGTAAACAACTTTCATAATTAGAATGACGTAAAATGTGTATATATGTATGTGTGTGTGTGAGAGAGGATAATTATTATTGGACCAGCAGAAGTATATTTATTTATTTGGATACTTTGAAGAATCGTAGAAGATGTTTAGATAAAAATGGGAACCACAAATCAATAAAGCTCTCAACTAACACCCTAATATTTTTGTTTAAAAATATATTAAAATCTCGAGTTTTAGGTTTACTTGAGAAGGAATGACCACTGCAGCTCTTCATTGATATAATAGCTTCAAATATAATAACCCTAATTTACTTGTTTTGTTAGTTTAATGTATCACATATACATGTATATACACGTAGAACATGCTGTTGTTGTTTTTTCCATCTTTGTTTCTCTGCGTACTCGTCTGACTGACACCTGGAGGTGCGGACGCCTTAAAATGAGCCCTACAAATAACTATATGCATGATTCACATTAATGAATTTCCTTTTTGGGGTTTGTGGGTCAGGCATAGCTTACTGGTTAGCGTTCTTGTCAGGCGTAGGTCAGGCATGACTCAGTGGTTAGTGTTCCTTTCAGGCATGGACTAGTGGTTACCGTTCATGGCGACGGATGTTCAATAACAGTAAAAGTTAAGTCTCAGTATTCGGTTAGGTAAATGTATCCCAAGAATTATCGGTGGTGCCATCCGTCTAGTTTACAAGTTCAAAATTATAGAATTCCATGCGCAATTACCCGTTTGTGAAGCTTGGTATAAAAATTCGGAAACAAACGATCTACGCATGACTTACTGACAATTGAAACACCTGATCTTTCCTCAACCAAAAATAGCTTATCCTACAAACTCCCGATGGTAAACGAGAAACTGTCAAATCTACTTCGTAAACCTCTACTGTATCTTGGTTTTGAATTAAATGTAGAACTCGTACAATAGTATTTAATTATCACTCAATTATCACAGTAGCGTAATTTATTTTATTCAATCCATATCAAAAAATCCAACTTCATATGTGAATTTTGAATTTGCCAATAAATCTTTGTTGTTTATTCGTACCACTTACCCATGGTTTCCAGATGGGACAGAGGTAAGTCTATGGACTTACAGCGCTAAAATCGGGGATTCGAGCCCACCCCCTCGGTGGACACAGCAGGGAACCCAATGTGTCTTTACATGTATGGTTAACTAAATGAATTCACATGAAAGGACTTCCAACAGTGTTTTCAACGTAACAAAAGAAAACGTTTTTAAACCCCGTCAAAAATTAGAACTAAAGAGGGAAGTGAAAGAAAAATGGTTCGAATACAGGACGAAATTTCAAAGTAGATAAAACTTTTCACTTTGCCATCAAGAAACGTTCAAAATAACTGAATGTTTTTATTATTATTATTTAGTTGTTACATAATGTGGGATTTTCTACGTTACCGGAAAAAAAAAATCGCGCCCTGCGTTTTAGAAGCCGTAGGTGTGTTATAAGGGTGAAGTCAAATCCTACTATTAGGTCAAACAAGAGTAGCCCAAGAATTCGAGGCAGGCGCTGTTGACTAGCTGCCTTCATTTTAGTCTATCACTTCAGAATTAGAGACGGTTAGTGCAGATAGCCCTTGGTTAACCTTGTGTGAATATCCGAAAACAAACAACTAAACAAAGTTTAACAACAAATGCCACATCATCAAATAGCCACTCCATAATTTTGATAACTGTAAACAAATAATGGTTTTGGTGAAGAACAAAGCTTAAACCTATTCCCATTAATATTCATTTGTGTACTTCAATTCGGTTCATTAATCAACCAAACGGATCACACATTAAGAAAATATCCAAACCTTTGACAATTTATAATACCTGAATCGCAATATTACGTAGTTGTTTTCCCTTTCTCCATACATGTAATAATGAATAAAACTGGTATGTGGTTATACAACTGTTTCTCAGTAGTTGTATGTGTGCATGACTTTGAAGTACGGTCGTACGTATTTAGAGCGAGAGAAATGTTGAGTTTGCTATCGATAATTCACATTAAAATCACGGTTTCTTTTACAGGGCAAATATTCGAATTCATTTCAAACTTTGAAGATACCCGTCGCCATATAGAGCTTGTTGTTCAAGATATGTGGTGCTTTACATTGGCCAAACTAAAACCTTTAGCTCAATATATTCATTCAGACAAGTCAACGACTTTTGAACAGCTGCTAAGCCAACTTGGAGATTATAAGAGGTAAAAAAAAATTTGTGAAGCTTTATATAAAAATTCTGAAACAAACGATCTACGCATGACTTACTGAAAACAGAAACACCTGATCTTTCCCCAACCAAAAATAGCTTCTACAAATTCCCGAGGGTAAAAGAGAAACAGTTAAATCTACCTCGTAACCTCGTAAACCTCTATTGTATCTTGGTTTTGAATTGAATGTAGAACTCGCACGGCAGTATTGCTTTAGTGAAAAAGAGTAAAATATATTTATTCAGTAGTTCGTTCTGTGTATTAAACCACGTTAAAATGTGTATGCATTTAAAAAGTGTCTGATTATGCATTTCAAATAAAGATATTGAATTAAACTAATAACTTGAATTTTTCTGAAAATTTAAATGCAATGTAATGACTTTGTTTATCTGGATCAGTTTGTTTACTAAAAGACTGTTACCAAAGAAACATTGAGTGACAAATATGGTTACTGAAATGTGATATGGGGAAAAGTTTCAAGAGTTAGTTCAAGATTAAAAAATAAAACACCATACGCACATATATACAAGATACAGCAAATGAAGTAGCTTGTTTATGTCTTCCAGAAATATGCATAAATCTACATAAAAATGTTACAGGTATCTTGTTTACTGTTCGTTAGTGAATAAAATCGCAATGTTTGATGAATTTGTTCTGCTCATCTACTGTAGTTTACAGTTATGTTCATTTATTTATTTAAGAAAAATCACACGAACAAACGTCTATTATTACTATACATATAAGATCAAACTTAAGTTTCGTTTTTCTAACAATGTGATAGCTAAGGTTGATTAAAATGAATAATTTACTATGATATGCTGGTTAGATGTGATTTTTATCATGCACGATATACGCACCATAGTATCAGTTTTTATTAACAATTTCCACTTTTTACAATTTACGAAAATAAAACACAAATCCTTCTCTTCGTATAGATCGTTTCAGTTAACAATATTACAACAAAGCCCGGCATGGCCAGGTGGTCGACTCCCCGCTACACCAAACATGCTCGCCCCTTTTAGCCGTGGGGGCATTATAATGTCACGATCAATCCTACTATTCATTAGTAAAAGAGTAGCTGCCTTCCCTCTAGTCTTACACTGCTAAATTAGGGACGGCTAGCGCAGATAGCCCTCGTGTAGCTTTGCGCGAAATCTATAACAAACAAGCATTACAACAAAACTATATCTTGAGTTTAGCGAGCCTGATACATGAATCCTATGATTCAGAGTTCGCGTCCCATTGTGACAAAAACACACAAAGTACTTTTAGGTATAGGTACACTAGAAGGGTGGCCTCATTCCCTCAGACCTTAGTAGCTCATGAGTTGGCGGTAGGTGCTTTTGACTAGCCTCCCTTCTAGTTTATTAATTCAAAAGTTACAAATGTTATAAACAAATTACACAACTACAACCTGGTAATACGTGGCCTCGTGATTAGGAGTTCGATGTTCGTTTTAGAGCAAAGCCACATCAGGCTATCTGCTGTATTCACGGAGTTTTGTGTTGTAAGTCCCTACACTTACCTCTGACCCACGGGGGGGGGGCATCCTTGGTTAGGGGTACTTGACCAGCAATCTGCAGATCGCGGTTCGAATCCAGTTACTCAACAGATTCGCTATTTCAGCCATGGAGACTTTATGATGTGACGGTTAATTCCATGTTAAAGAGTAGCCAAAGAGTTGGTGGTGGTGGGTGATGTTAACTAGCTGTCTTCCCTCTATCCTTTCCAAATTAGGGACAGCTAGCTCAAATACCTCTCAAGTTGCTTAGCGCGAAATTAAACAAATAAAAATTTGCAACTGTTCCAACTAGTTCCTTCTCGCAGAAGTTTTAACATTAATAAAACCCAAAGTAAAATCCACTTCCTTAGCTGAATAGAGGTCATTTTAATATTATTATGGTCACTTACTTTGTTAAACTGAATAATTATATTCAGATTTGTTTATCAACCCATTTACATAAAAGAGCTTTGCAAAAAATAAAAATGTCTGCCTGACGTTATCGAAGGTAAATAAAACATTAAATTTTTAATCGACGAATATGTGTTAAAAAACGTATAACAATAGGTCTATGCACAAAACATATTTATTTTCACTAATATTTTAAATGTTTGTTTGTTTGAAGTTAAGCACAAAGCTACACAGTGGGCTATCTATGCTCTGCCCACCACGGGTATCGAAACCCGGTTTCTAGCGTTGTAAATCCGGAGACATGCAGCTGTGCCACTTGGGGGGGGGGCAGCGTGAATGATGAGTGGTAAGCTGCTGCTGACTAGCTACGTTCCTAATACTTTATTAGAATTCCTTGCATTGCTCTTGTTGACACCGTAATTACTGGGTGCTTGACAGATACAAGAGTTTTCTTTCTTTGTTAAATTAAACACAAATATTTCGTATCAAGTTATTTCGATTAAAATAATGTATTTCCACAATCTGACATAACAGTAACTAGCTCAAAACAAGATTAACATTATTCTTGATATGCCTACTTTACTAAGTTGATTAGACTTAACGAAAATTTAACTGTGCATTGAAAATAATCTTACTGAACTGCATCAATTCATGTTTTCCGCTGTATTAAAATACCATGAATGCATGTATGGAATCACAATTTTAAGAAGTTATGCTTTAACAAGGATTTAGACACGGAAACTACAATATGAATTATGGAAATTGTTCAAACCAACCAACATCCAGGACTTGTTTCCGGACTGTAAACGTATTTGCTGTTATAGCTCAGAAAATGTTGAGCTCTTTCATTTGTTTGACAATAACTATTAGATAATATCACTGAAGCGAAATAATACGTTTTATAAAATGAAAATATCTCATTTAAACTTCACTTTTATAATTCAACCAGCTTAAAGTGCGAGGAACATTTTGTAGAAGAGCACGAATTTGAACTCAGCTTCGAAATTCAGAGCATTACCATAAACGTGCGCCTAACTTTGTTTGTTTGTTTGTTATGGATTTCGCGCAAAGCTACACGAGGGCTATCTACGCTAGCCGTCCCCAATTTAGCAGTATAAGACTAGAGGGATGGCAGCTAGTCATCACCACCCACCGCCAACTCTTGGACTACTCTTTTACCAACGAACAGTGAGATTAACCGTCACGTTATAACGCCCCCACGACTGAAAGGGCGAGCATGTTTGGTGTGACGGGGATTCGAACCCGCAACCCACAGATTTCGAGTCGAGCGCCCTAACCACCTGGCCATGCCGGGCCACCCTAACTTTGATAGGGTAAGCGTGTGCGTGAAAGTTTAAGAAAGACAAAGCTGATGAGCGAAGGAGACGAGAAGTTTTATGCTAAAAAGGTTTTCATGGTGAATTATCCCCCCCCCCTGTTAAGCGCTTATGTTACCATAAAACTCGTTCCTTCTATCTCTCTAATGAAAGGAAGAACAAAAA